GGAGAAAAGGTGGCGGAACTCAAACCTGGCCACGCCCTCATCAAACCCTAGGACCGCCCCTTTAGAGAACAGGAATGCAAGTAAAATTTGGGAGGGGCTATTTCCGGTGTGGGAGGGGCTATTTCCGGTGCGGCCGGCCCGGAAAAAGGTGCCGGAACGCCGTTCCGCCGCGTTCCGGCTGAAAAAAAGCCCTGATTATTATTATTATTATTATTATTATTATTATTATTATTATTATTATTATTATTATTATTATTATTATTATTATTATTATTATCTTTTGCATTTTGGCATTTGTGCTCTACCAAGAGATCGCTTCTTCGTTCAAGAGATGGAGGGATGACTTTTCAGTCTGTTCAGAGCTTCCCATCCATCCCCCTTGGCTGCCCCTGCTCCTGTCGCTTCTTTTGTGCTTTCCTGGGATGCTAATTTATTCAACCTTTTTTTGCAACGGTTTTTGTTCATTTTAAGTGGCTTGTTTTTCCCCCTAGCTTAGCCGCTTTGTTGCTTTTGGGTAGAAAAACAGCTGTATATTTCAGCAGAATCAGACCGGTCTGGCAACGTCCTGTCAGCGGAGGCCGAGTGGAAAACACGATAGGGTGAGCCTTTGCCAATCTGGTGTCTGCTTTTGTCTGCAAGTGTTGTGACCAGGCAATTGCGCAGCGAGACGTGACAGCAGATAGTGACTGTACGATAACACTGTCAAAAGGAGCCCTTGTGATTGGAGGGCTCCTGTGCATTTTACAGCTTTTAATTTCCTGACGCGTTTGCGGGGGAATAAAATAAGTCGCCACCAGGACTGCCCACAGCAGCATCAAAGCATTCTGGAGATTTAGATCAGCTGAACTCTGTTACGTGATAGGCCAGCGGTTCTCAACCTGTGGGTCGGGACCCCATTTGGGGTCGATCGACCATTTCACGGGGGTCGCCAAGCAAGGCTGTCCGCCATTTTTTCCCCCTTTTCCGGCGGGTGCCTTACCTCCCTTGGGCTGGGCCAGCTGGTGGTCGGCCTGCTCCGTCTCTGCCGCTTGCCAGCTACGCCTCGGCCAGCGCTGGGGGCGGAACCACGCATGCGCGGCACTCCCGGGCAGGGAAAGTCCTCGACTCACGACCGGTTTAGTCCTCGACTTACGACCGGTTGGGGTCACGGCATTAAAAAGGTTGAGAACCACTGTGATAGGCAGAGTTGACCTCTTGAGGGGCTAATTCAGGGGTCTGCAACCTGGACAACTTTAAGACTTGTGGACTTCAGCTCCCAGAATTCCTCAGCCAGCTTTGCTGGCTGAGGAATTCTGGGAGCTGAAGTCCACAAGTCTTAAAGTTGTCCAGGTTGCAGACCCCTGGGCTAATCAGACCTTATTTTTTTACATCCTAGATTCACTTAACAACTGTGACAAGAAAGGTCATAAAATGGGATAAAACTCACAGAAATTTGGGGCTCAAATTGTGGGCATAAATCACGGACTACCTGGATGCGTCTTTCTTTAATTACGAGTGGAAATGAAGATTCTGGATGGGTTAAAATGATCGCTGCCGTGCCACTATCCATAAAAGACGCCTTTTTATTATTATTATTATTATTCTAAAATTCAGCTCTTATCTGGGTCACCCTAGCCCTGTTTAAAGTCGACATATCTCAGCCTTGGCAATTTGGAAGACGTGGGGCGCCAACTCCTAGAATTCTGAGAATCGAAATCCACACATCTTCAACGTTGCCGAGGTTGAGCAACACTCTTTTCAACCACCTCAACCACGTAGGCGAGATAATAGTTGGACATTTTGGTTTTGTTTTGTTTTTCTCTTTCTCCTCCTTTGGTCCTTGGCGACGTCCTTCATTAGCCGGTGTTTCTCTCCCATCCTTTCCAGGTCTTCTCAGTGGGCAAATGTCTCCGACCAACATTAAGCTAGAGAAGTTGGATTCTCAGCAAGTTCTCCAGCTGTGTCTCCGGTACCAGGATCACCTTCACCAGTGCGCGGAAGCCGTGGCCTTTGACCAGAATGCTTTAGTCAAGAGGATCAAAGAGGTGCGACGGTCTTAGGGGGGCGAAGTACAGCATGATGCACGCACAAACCACTGCACCCACTGAACTGGCTTGCATGCTTTGTGTGTTGTTCCAAATACAAAACGAAAACGTTCAGGGCAGGGATGCTGGTACTGGGGGGGGGGGAATGGACAGTGGGGGGATCTAAGGACAGCAGCAGCAGCAGCAATTCAGGAGATCAAGGACAGGATAGATACTATACATTTTGAGGACTTTCTGTTCCCCTGAAAAATTGCTTCCTTTCTTTCTTTCTTTCTTTCTTTCTTTCTTTCTTTCTTTCTCTCTCTCTCTCTCTCTCTCTCTCTCTCTCTCTCTTTTCTTTCTTTCTCTCTCTCCTTTCTCTTTCTTTCTCTTTTCTTTCTTTCTCTTTCTCTCTCTCTTTTCTTTCTTTCTCTCTTTCTTTCTCTCTCTTTTCTTTCTCTCCTTTCTTTCTCTTCTTTCTTTTCTTTCTTTTTCTCTCTCTCTCTTTTCTTTTTTTCTTTCTTTCTATCTCTCTCCTTCCTTCCTTCCTTCCTTCCTTCCTTCCTTCCTTCAAAGAAAATACAAATTTTGGCTAAAATTCTTGCATTCGGCTCTCTTCTTTCTTTTTCTTTCTTTCTTTCTTTCTTTCTTTCTTTCTTTCTTTCTTTCTTTCTTTCTTTCTTTCTTTCTTTCTTTCTTTCTTTCTTCATACCTTGGAAGAAAATACAAACTTTGGCTAAAATTCTTGCGTTCGGCTCTCTCTCTTCTTTCTTTCTTTCTTTCTTTCTTTCTTTCTTTCTTTCTTTCTTTCTTTCTTTCTTTCTTTCTTTCTTCATACCTTGGAAGAAAATACAAACTTTGGCTAAAATTCTTGCGTTCGGTGCCTGTGAGTCAAATTGTTCTGAACGGTCTCTCTTCAGGGAGGGGAAAAGAATTTCTCTGCCAGCTCAAAGATGGGCAAAGGTCATTAATGTAAATAAACCAAAAGCCCAAGTTTGCAAAAAATAAACAATAAATGCAGTTTATACAAACTTTCTAAGTTTGAAACAAAGAAATTCATGTCAAGTTCGCTTGTATCAACTGAGCTGGATTTCTAAAATAGCCAAGAAGGTACATTGATTGTATGGAAAGGAGAAAAAAAAAAAACCAGAGTAAGAAGAGAAGGAAGACAGCGCTTGATAAATTGCGTACTTGGGAGCAAAAGGAGGATTAGTCATCCTGATGCGCTGGAATGAACCCAGCATTTGCTTTAATGATAAATGATCACTACACATACACCAGCTTTCCAGCTGTGTCTGCATCTAGGATTTCTGAGGATGACTAATATGCTGTTATTATCGGAAGCAGAGGAGCTGGGAAATTATAGGCTTATAATACTAGGGTATAGAAAATATATAACGTCTCTCTATACTCTATAATCCAATTTTCTCTTGGAAAATTGCTTCCTCTTTTTCCCCTCCCGGAGAGCCCAGCTCTTCCAGAGGTCATGAAAAGCGGCGTGTCGGGCTGGAATAAGAGCAGCGGTTTACCTTCTCGGAAGGGGGTTGAACTTTCAGAGACCGGATTCGATGCGGCTCCAAACCTAGAAAACCTCAGCATATTTACTGGATGCTACTAGAGAGATCCTGCATAAAATAAAGATTTGATCAGTAATAAATACATGATTAGAGAACTAATGGCAATAACTAAATTCTGGGGGAAACCAAGGTGGGAAAATTTATTTATTTACTTCTAAGAATTATATCAGTGCCCATCTTGTAGCACAGAACTCTAGGTAGCTTGCAAAAATAATAAAGCCAAGAAAACCAGGCCCCTGACCCTCAACCGCCCCCCTGTCATACAATCCCCAGGCTCTAAGCTCTCCCTGGCCCAGCACCTGGGGGGACACCCACCCTTTGTGACTTTCTGGGAGTGGGAGGAGAAAAAAATGGGTAAAATTAGAATTGATTGCTAATTGGAAGTGTGGGCTGAGGAAGATGAAACAGGAGAGTGGTTCAGAAAACAGTGATTTTTATAGCAACCGCTAGAAAATCCTGCTAGTGACAAGAAGCTTTGATGCATTGTTGGATTATGTGCTATCAAGTCATTTTGTACTCCTAGGGATCCCATAGATCAGGGGTGTCAAATTCACAACAGTCACGTGACGTGTCACAACTTTTTCCCCATTGTCGGCAATATGGTGGTGCGGTTTTGGCGTGACGCATCTAGCCTGTGGGCCGGCAGTTTGACACCCCTGACATAGATAAAAGAAAGTTAACAACCATTTATTGCAGGGGTCTTCAAACTTGGCCCTTTTATGACTTGTGGACTTCAATTCCCAGAATTCCTCAGCTAGGCACACGGGCAGCTTACTTTGAGGACTGGGGGTCATTTCTGGTCATTTCTTGTGCTCATCCCCATGTAGAGAATTGCAGAGAGAGGATCTGTTAATGGTGATGGTGATGGCCAATAGGGTCTCTCAAAACCCATCCCAGAGTCGTTTTGTCAGGGTTAGGGTCGCCACACAAGTTGTAGGAAGAAAGAAATTCTTTTTCTTGTCGGGAAGGGAACCGTAATAACCCATGTCTGGCCCTGGTGGCGCAGTGGTTAGAAGGCAGCATCGCAGGCTGACTCTGCCCACCGCCAGCAGTTCGATCTTGACCGGCTCAAGGTTGACTCAGCCTTCCGTCCTTCCGAGCTCGGTCAAATGAGGACCCAGATGGTTGGGGGGGGGCAATGTGCTGACTCTGTAAAAGCGCTCAGAGAGAGCTGTAAAGTATTACGAAGCGGTATATAAGTCTAGAGCGCTAAGGGCTATTTCGTTGGTTTTTTTTACAGATGGATCTTTCCGTAGAGGCACTGTACGCGTTGATGCAGGAGCGCCAGAAAAGGTACGCCAAGTACGCTGAGCAGATCCAGAAGGTCAACGAGATGTCGGCCATCCTCCGCCGCGTCCAGATGGGCATTGACCTAACCGTCCCGCTGATGGAGAGGCTGAACGGCCTGCTGCCGGAGAACGAGCGGCTGGAGCCCTTCTGCATGAAGCCGGACAACAGGGAGCTCAGATCGTAGCTTCCGTTCGCCCGGCCATCTCCTCCCAGGCTTTGACTGCAGGACCTTGCTTGAAGCTTCAGGCTCAGGGTGAGTAGAAGACCCTCCGGGGATGGATGGAGAGGGCAGCCGCTTAGAAGGACACGCTGCCCAGGACACACGTTGGGCTACTTCCGCGGCTTTTGCCCGCCTGCTTGCCCCTGCAGAGTGTGGTTTTAATCGAGCTGAGATCTCTGTCTTCCCTTCCTTCTACCACACAAGTTGTAGCTTTTTATTTCTAGGACACCTTGTGACCTCCAGGGACTACTGTCCAAGGAGGATGTGTTAAAACCACCGTGGAGGGCATGCGGTCAATTCGCACAGACTCTTGGGCCTCGCTGTGGCCTGCCTTGTAAATGTTAGCCTCCCTTTCCAGAAAAGATAGCAGGTATAGTGGACAAATGGGCTTTCAGGGGTCTTTGTTCACCGGCTGCCATCTTGTTGAGTAATCCCTAATAAAGATCTATATATAAAAAAAAAACACTGGTTCCCCATAAGACCCTTTGAAAAACACCCTTTCATTTTTTTTGGCATTGGGTGGGAGAGACTGCTAGTTAAACGCATTAGGCGCAGTGTTTCTCAGCCTTGGCAACTTTACGATGTGTGGACTTCAACTCCCAGAATTCTCCAGCTAGCAACGCTAGCTGGAGAATTCTGGGAGTTGAAGTCCACACATCGTAAAGTTGCCAAGGTTGAGAAACACTGCATGATTAGCGGGACTTTTAGGAAAGGCCAAATTTGTCTACCGGAAAGATTTGAGGTTCCTGGTAACGGGGCGTAGCTTTTTGCAGTTTCTAGCGAAATGTCCAAAGCCAAAAGGAGCCTTGTCCACCTCACTTGCACAACACAATGCACCTTGTGTGGGATGTATTTCTTTTTTGAGGTCTAATGGACTTCCCTCCCCGTGCAGTTTGGCTGTGTGCTTAAAGGACTTCTCGGTTTACGGGGCGGTTAAATGCGTGGCTTGCGTTGTGGAACTGTCACGGGTAGGCAGTTCCTGGCCCTCCCCCCCCCCCCCGTGAAAGGGTCTGTCTTTTGCCCCCCCCTGTCCTCAAGAGACTTTCTGAATCCATGCAGGTCTCCTTGAGTTGCCAAGATTGCTAATAAAAAAATTCTGTTTTATAAGAAATAGGAGCTATTTTTGGTTCGTGGCCGAAGGAATAGTTGGAAAAGAGCTAAGCCAGGGAATTCTCACTTTATTTACCTTATTCTTACAGCAGCTGGATGGGTCTTCCCCACCGTCCAAGATCATTCATGGGCAGAGCCTGCCCTGGGTACTCCGTTTCTCTTTCTTCCTCTGCACTTTTATCTGTGTTGGTGATATATTTTTCCCCAGCATTAAAGCTAAAATTGCACGTGCGCTGGAAACGTCTGTCAGAATAGCCTACGTCAGTGGCGGCGAACCTATGGCACACGTGCCAGAGGTGGCACTCAGAGCCCTCTCTGTGGGCACGTGGGCCATGCCCCGGAGATGGCAACTGTCCCTCTTCAACCAGCTGCCCGCTAACTTGCCGAGGTCCCACATGGCTGGATGCATCCCAGGACCCATGCGCTCGCTGGCCTCTGTGTGCAGGGGCTGATGGTGTCAGGCAGCAGCTGTCCTGGCCCCCGCCTCACCTTTCCCTGTGACAATGGCACCCCCGCCCTGCCTCGCCTCGCCTCACCCCGCAGGACGAGCCTCCTGCCCACCACCCCATCTGCCAGAGACCCCCTGGATCTCCCCCAGCCCTGCCTGGCCCCCACAGGCGTCCCTCCCCATGAGCAACATCGAGGTAATCACGCCCACCTTGGCTACACCCACCCAGCCTGCTATGACCACCACAGCCACGCCCACCCAGTGGGCCACGCTCACCTGGCACCCGGCGATAAATAAGTGGGTTTTGGGTTGCAGTTTGGGCACTCGGTCTCTAAAAGGTTCACCATCACTGGTCTACGTATTTAAAACTGACCTACTTTAGTCATAACCTTAGTGGCTTTGCCACAAAAGGAGGAGTGGATTTTTCCCCATTTTTATATTGACTGTGATCTGCCCTTCTCAGGAATTCATCCGAATCGATGCACTGGCCTGGCTTGAAAAACATTGTGCTTGAACTCATCTCTCTAATCCATTGGAGGACTAGTATCTTTCGTTTCCGTGCTTTGTTTTCTCTGCCACAAAGACCATCAGATTTCAGGACCGGCCAGTGAGGACACCGTTGCCTCCCAGTCTCCAGAGACAAAACCTGTAGAGTCAATTTTGCATTTTGTTTGAGAAAAGAATACTTAATTGGGGGGCAGTCTCTGGACCAGAGGTCAAACGATTGGCATATTCCAAGCCATGGAGCATGTTTCCCTTGTACCTTTTAATACTATTATTACCTCAATAAGGTACGGACACCTTTCCAGGAAACCTCCAGCGGGTAAAAAGTGACCTAGTGAGGATGATTCTGCGGTCCTAATGAAACTGACTTAGACAGTGCAGAGATAGGGCGATCTAGTGGCGATGTCAGCCAGTCGACAGACGACAGTAAAGAAGCGCCGGTAATTTCCGGCAGTGGAAAGAGGCGAGCCGAAAGGTTCCGAAAGGGACTCAGGCGACTAGAACCGGCGGCGGTTTCATCGCTCCTCAGGACGCCTCCTGCTTTCGGATCGCCCTCCAAGAAATCCGGGACCTCAAAGGGTCCGTCAAACGGTCGAAAGCGAGTGTGGATGCTCCGGAGAGTCGTCCAACACACCCCTTCTTCTTGACAGCTGGCCCCGCCCCCCAATAAGGTACGGACACCCAGATTCTTAGTGCTCAAAGACGGAGGCAAGTGAAACATATCATCACCTGCTCCCTTAAGGATTCCGTCAACCCCTTTCCCTGCCCAGACCTCCTTCCACCCAGGAACACACAATCCTGTCACCAGGACAAAACTCCCAAGCCCTGCTCAGGTTTGGCCTGATTCAAGGCTGCCTGGAATTCCCAGAGACCATGGAGGTTGACCATGGTCGGGAACCAGGTTGGGGAAGGTCAAAACTGACCATCCGTAGCTCTTCATGGAAGAAACGCAATTCCTTTCATCGTTGGAAACACTTAAGTTCTCTTGACAATAACAATGGAAGGGAGTGCCTGGAAATAAAAAAACTGCAGAACACCCTGTCAAGTGTTTGGATGCTCTTTTCTTCCAAGGTGATTAAAAGAATCATGGCGATCTCTTTCCCCAACATGGTTCCAAATGCAGACTGGAAACTGGCTGGGGGAATATCGCTGTGGGGGCCTCGTCCTCTTGCCGTCCTCCGTCTTTGGGCTATCAGAGCTGATTACGAAGCTTTTCCTTCCACAGGTTTTGGGGCTGACAGTTTCGGACAGTTGATAGTGTGTCACATTTTTTCTTCTTCTTTTTTTATGTATATAAAAAAGAACTATTTGCTATTCTAGCACGGTGCAATTTTTTTTTTTCATCTGAAATCGTTTAGATAACTTGTGTTGTTATGGGAAACTCCTATGAGAGCTATGGTTGAAATGGTAGCAGATGCATATTTAATAAACATTACACAATGTTGCTTTACAGAGGTATTTTAATTTTTTTTTATTTGGCAAGTCTGTTCTAATCACCAGGAAAAGATTTACTGTAGTTGTCATTCTGAAAGTCCCCAACTTCCGGCTGCTCTTCTCTGCAAAATATTCTCTTTTGATTGATTTAAAATGAATACATATTAAATGCAATAAAACTGCATTCACATTTTATTGCATAAAACTCTAGTCAAGAATTAACAGCCAAGAGCATACCTCAAGTTGATTTGTTGGGCCAAAGATATATTTAGAAAAACATACTTGTTAGGAGTTTATGTTTCTAACAAAAATGTGTAAACTGGTTATATATCCTTTGGCAGCAGTGTTATAAACAGTTATCTTCTAGCAGAATATCATTACACCCACTTTCTTATTTTGTAAATTCAACCTCATTTGCTTAATACAAACTCACACCATAGTTCTTGTCACTAAAACCCACTATGGCCGTTTAGAGAATGAAAACAAATTTTTAAATGTCATTTCCTATTCCAGCCCAATTTTCACAAAGCTGCCACATATCTGATTGATGCTAAGACACTGGCTCTCCCTGGGCACGCTACAGGTAAATTTGGGACTGCAAGAGTCTTGGAAAGGCTATATCAACCCCCCTGGAATAAATGCTGGCACAAGTTACTCCTAGGGGCTCAATGGGTCACCCACCTTGAAATTCAGAAAATACTGGATGTGGTTGAAGCTTTCAGTGCCGATTTCCTTCGACACACCAGGCGGTCCTGAGCCAGAGAGAAAGCAGCGATGTGCAGACTCCCAGGCAGGAAGAGAAGTCCCACATGGACTTGTGTGCCACTTCTATTTATCGCAATACGCCTCCTCCAGCACTGAACCAGTCTGGGTAGGCCAGGGGTAGGCAACCTTGGCTCTTTTATGACTCGTGGACTTCAACTCCCAGAATTCCTGAGCCAGCACAGCTGGCTCAGGAATTCTGGGAGTTGAAGTCCACGAGTCATAAAAGAGCCAAGGTGGCCTACCCCTGGGGTAGGCGGTGTTCTCCATCATGATCAATCAAGAGCTGCCTCTTGATAGCCGTATATCCCGGATTCCTAAAAACATATCTTGCTTTATTCCAAATTGGGCATTAGAAAACGAACTGCTAGATGGTTGTTGTTTTTTCTGCGGTTCCTCAGGAATGTTTTAAGTGTACCGAAAGGGGTTAATCTGAGGTCTTAAATGCAGAATAGGGAAAGTAGGAGGGTATTTAAGTAGTTTCTTGAAAACTCTGCAGAAAATGCATGTATTTTCCTTTGTGGAAAATACAGTGTTTTTGTCGTTTTTATTTTTGTTTTTGGCCTTGCCTTGAATTTCCTTCTGTGAACAGTGTCTGGTCATTACTTGACATATTTATTAATAAACATGCAAAACATAGATAACCTGATGCAGCATCTGCCTTCTTCTTTCTGGGTGGTCTCCGCTTCGGGCCGCAAGAGAACGGGCTTTGTCGAGAGGGTCCAGGGCTTGGAAGTCCTCTCTCCTCCTTTCCCATTTTTTTCCCCCCTACATTTTCACTCGTAAATTAAGGTTCCCCAGTGAACCAGAGCTGAACTCCTGTGCCCTCTCTAGAGATGCTGATGGGTATTTCCAGGGCAGAGTGACAAGCTACGTATGATAAATTAAGTAAGTGCAGATGGGTCACCGGTGAAAATCATGACGTCAGTTGACGTTATAGCGCTCTTAAATGGGACTATTACAGGGAAAGTAGCCTGTACTGAGAGTAGATAATCTACATTTTGAAGTTCAGGATGGTAAATTGATCCCTTTCAGATACAACTTACTTCTGTTGCTTGTGCTTTACATTCCACCTGTACTGACTGGAAGTACGGAATGGGACCCCTCTGATGCATCCCTAACACACACACACACACACACAAAACAAGAGCACCAAAAATGTCCCCTCGTTTTGCATCCCTGCTTGGCTTGCCAATGTCTGGGCCTAGAAGTGGGGCTATGCTTTGAGGGCTGGGATCGTGGAAATTGTTGGGCACTTCCTGAGTAAATGTCCTTGGTAGACCCGGGTGAGGAGGGTGTAAGTCTCCCAGATACAGTTCAGGCATCTGCCTAACAGCCAGTCTAGGGTCTCAGTTGCAGGCATATTGTGTACCTTGAATATTAGACACAAATTAAGACACAAACATGAAAATGTGCATGTGGAACAGCTTGCAGTCTAACACAGCGGTTCTCAACCTATGGGTCGCGACCCCATTTGGGGTCGATCGACCATTTCACGGGGGTCGCCAAGCAAGGCTGTCCGCCATTTTTTCCCCCTTTTCCGGCGGGTGCCTTACCTCCCTTGGGCTGGGCCAGCTGGTGGTCGGCCTGCTCCGTCTCTGCCGCTTGCCAGCTACGCCTCGGCCGGCACAGGGGGCGGAACCACGCATGTGCGGCGCTCCCAGGCAGGGAAAGTCCTCGACTTACGACCGGTTGGGTAGTCCTCGACTTATGACCGGTTTAGTCCTCGACTTACGACCGGTTTAGTCCTCAACTTACGACCGGTTGGGGTCACGGCATTAAAAAGGTTGAGAACCACTGGTCTAACAGGTTAGTCCTCACCAAGAGTTAGCAACACATCCAGAACCTGAAAAAGTCTGCTTGGATTTTCCCCCCTCATTTTAAGATGCTGACCAAGCAATTTAAAGAAGGCCGTCTACTAAGGTGGCACTCATACAATGGCTGTGCAAATAGCTCATGTCTTGACGTCTGTCTCCGCTCCCATCGAGACGTGTTTCTTGGGAAACCGGACTTTTCTCTTTTTTGGGGGGGTTTGAAACATTTCGCGCCTTATCCAAGTAGCTTCCAAACTGCGAACCGTTTCAAACCCAAAAGAAAAGTAGCCCAGTTGCCCATCATTCAGTTTCCAGACAATGCCACCTGGATGACCGAGAATCTCCGTTAAGACGCGTTTCTTGAAAAAATTTACAACAGCAGAGAGCGCAAACTCCGTTTTCAGTCACACCTTTCCATCAAAACTTGAGTAGAAACGAACGAACGAACATCCCGTCTGCTTAACAAAGGCTGATTCATTAAAGACAATAAGGATGGGCCACTTTGCCAGCCACCGCTTCGTTTGTTAAGGGAAACTTAGGAGAATAGCTGCATTTTTTATTTTTTATTTTATTTTGCCTTCAGGTGACGAGAACACGCAAGGCAAGAAAAGAGCTGATTGTCTGTTGCAAAAATTAAACTTACCATTTAATCTCTCTCGAATACACTCATGGGCCTGTGTGTGTGCACGCGCACGCACAAAGCCACACGCACGCACCGCACGCACCACCGATTTTCTTAATTTCGTCCATACTGAAGCCGAACAGTATTCTGAAATTTCAGATTTACAGGGAATTGTTTTATAGAAAAATTGGGACAGAAGGAATGAGAGGGGGGGGGAGAAATCGTCGAAGAGAGTCAAGATACTTCAATAATCTCCATGCTGCCCGAAAAGCTGGACTGGCTGCCCATTTTGCCCAGCTCTTCCCGGGACCTGTTCTCTGACATGATACTCTCCCCAAATTCCATCTGGCAACTCCGCCGCTTGAACTGCTTCTCGAAAGAGCTCTCCTCGTGCCAGCTGCGCCGGGAGTCGCCCCGCTCCCCGTGCTTCTCTCTCCTCCGCACGCCGTACGCCTGCTCGCACCCCGTGGGCAGCTGGCTGCAGCTGAAGGCCGAGTAAGCGGGGCTGCCCCCGTATATGGCGGAAGCGGAATAAATATGGGAGGGGTCGGCAGTGAAATACCAGCTGCCGGTCAGGGACGCCGCGGAGGTTGGAGGGGATAAGATGTCCGAATGCCAGCCTTTCAGACCCAGCCCGGCGGCAGACTTGGCCAGGTGCTGCTGGCTGGTGGAAAGGCCAAAGAGGAAGTTGGTTCTGTAGTTGTCTTCCATGCTGCCGCTTCGATGCAGCGGGTACAAGGACGACCGCTGAGCGGGACAGGCCGTCCTGCCCAAATGCTGCCGCTTGCCCTGGCTGTCCAGCTGCCAGCCCTGCTGGGGCTTCTCCGGCAGTTTGGCCTGCTCCTTGCCCGGACTACCCTCGGGCGTCTGTTCCGAAACCTCCTGGACCGGAGAGAACTGGCACAGTTTGCTGCCCGCTTCCAAAGTGGCCGAATGCTTGTAGTACTCCAGCACGTCCCCGTCCAGGGAGGGGCATCCTGGTCCCGAAGCGGTCAGGCAGGCACTGCTGCTGCTGCTGGCGCAAGAGACAGACTTGATATCCAAGGAGAAGGAGCGCTTCAATCGGTTGCTGTCTTCCACTTTATCGGAGGGGACGTTTAATCCAGTTCTGCCTTGCACCGAGGGGCTGCCCTCTCCAGGGGGCAGAGAGGGGGGAGCCGGTGGGTTTCCCGGCTGTGGGGGGTTCTGCTCCACGTTCTCTGAGGTAGAGGAAGCACCCAGCAGAGAAGAGGCCCGCAGGATGGTGGGGGGCCCACCGCCTGCTCCGTGGTTGCTGCCGTTTTCCAAATGCAAAAGCTTGAGCTTGCTAACGAGTCCACTGCTGCCCCCCTGGCTCTGGATCTTCTTTTCAAAGTCCAGAAGTTGACCGAGGAAGTTGAAGTTCGGAGAAATGGTGGGCCTCTTCTCCTTCACAAACCTAAAGGGAATTTCAAAACGAAAAAGGGAATTCAGCCGATGGACCTTGAGCTCCAGGCCTGAATTGTGCGTGCAAAATATTCCCTGAGGTTGGCGAGGCTGCGAGAATTACGTTCCAAGGTAATCTAAGGTCACCCATTGTGCAACTATTTAAAACACACCCTTGTTTGAAAGCAGAGTGACCTTTGACCGTCCACGTAGGTTCTGCTTCCTTAAATAATGATCTGGCAATGGCACGCAGGGCTCTTTGCTCTCCTTCCAATTCTTCTTCGAAATCATTCTTTTATGAATCAGTCTATCTATCGACTATTATCTGCATCCTATCTATCTATCTATCTATCTATCTATCTATCTATCTATCTATCTATCTATCCATCCATCATCTATCTATCTATCTATCCCTCCACCCACCCATTTATCATCTATCTATCTATCTATCTATCTATCTATCTATCTATCTATCTATCTATCTATCTATCTACGTACCTATCTATCTATCTATCTCTCTATCTCTCTCTCTCTCTCTATCTATCTATCTATCTCTGTCTGTCTGTCTGTCTATCTATCTATCTATCTATCTATCTATCTATCTATCTATCATCTATCTATCTATCATCTATCTATCTAATCTATCTATCTTATCTATCTATCTATCTATCTATCTATCTATCTATCTATCTATCATCTATCTATCTAATCTATCATCTATCTATCTATCTAATCTATCTATCATCTATCTATCTATCTATCTATCTATCTATCTATCTATCTATCTATCTATCTAATCTATCTATCATCTATCTATCTATCTATCTATCTATCTATCTATCTATCTATCTATCTATCTATCTATCTATCTATCTATCTATTCATCCATGTCCAGTCCCGGCCTTCTGCAACTGATCTGCCCTGACCACATGGAAGCCATTTTTCCAACCAGGACGCTGGAAATACTTATGTCCCACCTGCCTGGATGAGTTTCTTCAGGATGAAAAGAGCTCTTTCCCCTTCCTTACCTGTAGGCCTCATCTAAGGACATATCCATCCTTTTCATTATATAGGCAATGGCAATTGTGGCTGAGCGGGATATTCCAGCTAAACAGTGGACTAGGACACAACCGTTCGAAGCTTTTGCTTTTTCTGTGGCAAGCAAAGAGAAACAAAAATCAATCTGGGATACTCCAAAGAGGAGGAAAATCAGAAGCCCATAGAGAATCAGAATCATCCTTGTTGATGGGAGAAGTAGAGAGAGGAGCTATTTCAGGGGTCTTCAAACTCGGCCCTTTTATGACTGGTGGACTTCAACTCCCAGAATTCCTGAGTCAGCCACACTGAGGGGACAGGGAGAGGTTTCCAAGCTGAGCCATGCTGGCTCAGGAATTCTGGGAGTTGAAGTCCACCAGTCATAAAAGAGCCCAGGTTGCCTACCCCTGGTCTAGACTGAATCTCCTGTTTATCCAGGGGGTATTTGCAAGATGTGATCCAAAGAGCCAAGATGGTTGACACCCCTATGTTCACTCTTTTATAACACTTTTATAACACCTAGAACTAAGGAGAAACTTCCTGACAGTTAGAACAATTAACCAGTGGAACTACTTGCCTCCAGAAGTTGTGAATGCTCCAACACTGGAAGTTTTTAAGAAGAGATTGGACAGCCATTTGTCCGAAATGATGTAGGGTTTCCTGCCTGAGCAGGGGGTTGGACTAGATGACCTCCAAGGTCCCTTCCAACTTTTTATTATTATTATTATTATTATTTGTCTGAAATGGTATAGGGTTTCCTACCTGAGCAGGGGGTTGGACTTGACGACCTCCAAGGTCTCTTCCAACTTTTTTATTATTATTATTGTTGTTGTTGTTGTTGTTATTTATTTATTTATTTATTTATTTATTTATTTATTTTAAACAAATTAGCTATAAAAACATCCCTGAGAAAATGGTGGGAATGGGAGAAGAAGGAACTTATCATGTTCAAAAGGTAATCCAAGGCACTCCTAAAAACCAAGCATGCTTTTCCTGTGATCATGTATCAACTCAGCATTTATGGAAAGCAGGCACATGGGAAAGACCCAACTAACTTAAGGAATTGGCAACCGGGTGCCACTCCAGTCCCTAATAATTGTGACAGGCTGGCTTCTCTGCTACACCAGGGGCATCTGCAAGAGGGAATCAGAACGTCAAGATAGCAGCTACAAGTTAAAAAAGAGTGGTGGCTAAAAAAAGCCACTACGCTTGTCTTGGACTCCCTGGAGAAGAGCCTGATGCTGGGAAAGATGGAGGGCAAGAGAAGAAGGGGACAACAGAGAAGGAGGTGGCTGGATGGAGTCACTGAAGCAGGAGGCATGAGCTTCAATGGACTCCAGAAGATGGTAGAGGACAGGAAGGCCCGGAGGAACGTTGTCCATGGAGTCGCGATGGGTCGGACACGACTTCGCAACTAACAACAACACGCTTGCCTTTTGACCTTTCCTTAACGTCTTTGCTGCTGCTGAGATGGGAGCCCTTTCTCAATCCTTAGACACCTGCGCCTGAAAACGGGATGGAAATGCGTTCTTGGAGTTGGAAAGAGACCCCTGCTCAAACTCAGACCTTTACCTATGAAGTCCACGGACTTGTCCAGCCACGGAAAGATTTTCTCGCAGAAGCTGTCGTTCACCGGCACCCTTAAGAAGTGGGATTCTGGGATGAAGTCGGGTTTGGGACACGTGTTGCTGGCGTTTAATACGTAGCCAATCTCATTCTGTTGCATTAGCTCCTGTGAAAAGAAGCCTTATTCATAAATAACTTTAATCTTCACCCGGCTCACATCCCTGCTCTCCAGAGGTGGGAGATTCCTCATCCAAGCCACGGTGCTTGGAGAAATCCCACCCCTCTTCAAGCCTTCCAAAGGCCACCTGCGATGGGGCCAAAACATCGGAAGAGTGGTAGGGGGGAAGCCATCACTAATAGCAGGGGTCTTCAAACTTGGCCCTTTTATGACTTGTGGACCTCAACTCCCAGAATTCCTCAGCCAGCAAAGCTGGCTGAGGAATTCTGGGAGTTGAAGTCCACAAGTCATAAAAGGGCCAAGTTTGAAGACCCCTGACTAATAGGAAGGATTGGCAGATCCCACCAGATTACACTGTTACAGGAAAGGGATCCAAAGTGTGTCCACCCTACTCAAGTGAGAGAGGCAACAGAGATGTCCTACATGACCCAGTGTCTTCCTTGAGTTTGCATTACCTATAACCAAGGATGGCCCCAATTTGCCAAGTGCTTAGGGGGCTGATGAACCCTTGCCCTGCCCTGTTTGCTACGGGGCTCAAGGGCACCGTGATCTCTCCCCGTCCCGTTGCCTGCCTACCTTGTTGAGGACATCTCTCTGGCACCCCAGATAAAGGTGGGGGAGGATCCGGGTGGGCCCCGTGTTGGAAACCGGTAAGCAAGGCTGAGAAATACAAGAAGGCACCAGGATAGATTTTCCTTCGCAAAGGCCCGGGAAACAGTTGGAAAATTCGGCAAATCCACCTAGAAGAAAGAAGCGCACGGTTTTCCAGTCTTCATTTCAGATAGTAGTAACAGCAACATCCAACTCAAATCGCTTCCCTAATTTGCTAATGAAGTTCAGGGTAGCCTCAGTATTTCTTCTCCCGACACATTTTTTTTTTGCTTTTATCTTCAGGGCAGCTGAAAAGGCGAAACCACACAGAATATATTCTCCAGAGAAACACTTTGACATCAAGAAAGAGCAAAATCTTCCCAAACACCAATGGAAGCCCTTGCCACTTCAACAAGAACTTCTCAAAAAGTCCCTCCAACTGCAAAATTCACACAAAATTCACAAAATTCAAGGAGACTCTGGTTCTCTCCTCCGTTTGACAACCCGTCTCTCAACAACCAGCTCCCCAAATTCTTTACAATTGTGCAACATGTTTTTGATATGCACATTGCAAGTTCCATTCACCTATAGGAGAACTCGCATTCAGCCCTGTCAATTCTGTTATGATGTCACCAGGAATATGACACAGGTTATGTATATTTTTGGTGCCCACAATGTTATTATGGCTTATTCCATGCATCTGTGCGGGAATTGGGCGCGTTAACTACAGTGTTGCTTTAGGACTCCAATCTGAGTTCAGAATTGTCATCTATCACACTTATCTAGATTGACTTAGCGTTAAAGTAAAGCCTCATGTAAGCATGAAAGGTCTTATAGCAAATGCAGAATTCTGCTGTTACTACTTAAGTTTCTAACTTGGAGAAAGATCTGATTGATTAAATTGGCCCTCCAGGTCCACGAAAGCAGAACAGGACAGGCCTCCCACCTCTGAAATACTGGCCCTGTATGTTTCAAACTTGGCCACTTTAAGATGTGTGGACATCAATTCCCAGAATTCCTTATTTATGCTATCAAAAAAAGAGAAATATTTAAAAAGGGACATACCATCAACCTAAGAGACTAATGTTATAATTTTTGGATGAGGACAGTGAATAGTTTTAAGGATATGACCTAAAAGAAATGATGCCAACGATCAAATAAACCCAATTTTTCCCCCACTGTTGTGGTGCCCCCTCTGCAATTCAGTAACACAACCTAATTTGTCATGTTATTTCAGGCACATTGGATTATTTATGGACTCTTATCATGTCCACCCTCTGGGTTAACATGAGAACTCAACTCCAATCTCAATACCACTGGAGTTGCAAATCACTGGAAATACATAATTATATTACAAAAACAGCGAGGGTTAAACCAAATGTACAAACGTGCATGCATGTGAATTAATGAGTGCGTGAGAGTTGCTACTGGGCAGAAAGTTCAAATTATTGCTCAGTTGTATTCACTTCTATGTTCATGATCAAATGTTTATAAGAATAATGAGAAAGAGATTCAAAGTCCATTTAAGCCTCGTGGACCAACCTCAGACTCTTACATCACAACCGAAGAGCCAAGTTAGAACTCAACTAGGACCACTGCCTGACCACACATGCTCTATTCCCTCTCATCTCTTCGTAATTGCAGAAATTATTCTGCCTCTACCTAATTAAATAACCACAGATGGGAAGGAGTGACCCAGGATTGTACACTGTGCTCTACATCATGAGACCTGTTGGACTAGAACAGGGGTCTTCAAACTTGGCCCTTTTATGACTTGTGGACTTCAACTCCCAGAATTCCTCAGCCAGCATGTCATAAAAGGGCCAAGTTTGAGGACCCCTGGACTAGAAGGAAGAGGAATTGGAATTTAAAAGGTTGCAAGACGTATTAACAACCTCAGCTGTGTAGAGGAGAGCTCTCCAATGGCTGGAACTTGTCGACGGTGAAAAGATACAGTTGGTAAAAGCTGGTCTGCTGCTTAACGTTTATCCCAAACAAACTAAGATTGTATCCGTGGACAATGTCAACCCATGGTAAATAGAGAGGAAGAATAGAGGCATCAAACTTTAGCCCAAATTTTTGTAGGGATGGTGAGTGGAGTCATGAAAAAAAATATGTCTGCTTTTTAGGACAAAGACTTTGGCAGATCTAGACAAAATATTGAAGGGCAGAAAACAACACACCGATAGCAAAGATCCATTTTATCAAGGCCTTGGCCCTCCCGGCGATAGTGTACGGCCGTGAAAAATGAACCATGAACCATCGGAAGGGCTGAGTGCAGAACAACTGATTGTTAATTGTGATACTGGGGAATATTGCTGAGAACACATCAGACTGAACAAGAACAAATAATAGACAAAATAAACGTAGATAGCTCGCCAGAAGCACTAAAACAAAACTCAAACTTAAATATTTTGAACATATAAAGTCAAGGCAAAAGACCTTGAAAAACACACCACGCTTGGAAAAATGGAAAACAATTTGGGAATGTACCATCACTGTTGAAACAAACATGACCTTACAACAGGGGTCTTCAAACTTGGCCCTTTTATGACTTGTAGACTTCAACTCCCAGAATTCCTCAGCCAGCATTAGTTACAGAATAGTAACTAATATTACTGTCGCATTAGTTCCTGTAGTAGTAAGTTTTTTTATGTAGAAATTAATATTTACTAAACTGCAACCCAGCAAAACCATGCAGTTATGATCACAAAGTTGTCAAGCTTGGAATTTGACTTATAGGAGAGTCGAATTTTGCAGAAGGAAATGCCAAAATTTAAGTGGCAGAGGGCGTCCTGGACAATTGCACTTTATTGGAGATATCTGATTTTCCATCAAGGAGAGTATGTTAACGAACATCACCAACACAGAGGAAAATGTCCATTTTGTCAAGCTATTTCTTACCATTTTGTTTAGGACAAGACACCTCAGCTTGCGAGGTTCAAGAATACTCTCCATTCTCTTTATCAATTTGGTAAAAACAGAGATTTTAGGGTTTTTTTTCTTAATCCGTGGGCCTTTAGTCTGTCACTAACCGACTTCCAGCTGTTTTATTTAGTTGGTGGTTTCTGAATATTTCCCCGTGTTAATACAACATGCAGCATTTCCAGCGCTGGCTGGTTGAGTTTATTACTTGTGGCTGCAATTCTCAGAGGGGTGTTTCATGAAACCAACTCAAGGCGCCAAAAGCCTTTTGTGGTGAAGAAAACTCCAACAGCTTTTGTTTTTCAGAAATCCAACACCTCCTGTAACTTTGCACACACAATCTAGGCTTGTGGGCTTTCCAAGTCTTTAATGATCTGGCTGTTGAGCATGGGGAGAAAAACTGGGGAGTGGGTTTCAAAGCCTCACTCTGATTAACGCCCATGTTTTTCCTCTGACTAGGGCAAGATCAAGTTCAAGATCCATGTGTTTTCCTTCAAGGAATTCTCAACAGTGCCGAACTGACAGCAGTTATCCCTTAGGAACAGCATGGGAGAAAAAGAAGCGTACATATCTGTATCTGTTTTCACCTTTTCTGCCCCCTAAACTAGTGTTTCTCCACCTTGGCAATTTTAACATGGGTGGACTTCAACTCCCAGAATTCCCCAGCCAGCTGTGCTGAGGAATTCTGGAATATGAAGTCCACAAGTCATGAAAGGGCCATGTTTGAAGACCTCTGTATTAGCAGTTCATTCCTGAAGTGGATCGGGTGGTTAACTTGATGACTACCCTCCATTACTCATGAAAGAAAGAAACAAGTCGCAGAGAAGTAGATTAAAAGAGTTCAGTGGTAGAGAATAAATAATTATCGTTTCTTGCTCTAGCTACTACGCACAGATGTTTTGAATTTTTAAAAGCCAGCTCCAGGCATCTCCCACCCTGACGGAAACAAAGAGATGTCTCCCCAGATCAAAAACACTGCGATACGTCTTGGAGCTTTTCATTTCAATGTCTTTGTTTTTGCAAAATTCATCCAAACTACGCCACAGTCAGATCGGAGATGCCAGCAAACATAGTTTCCAGATCTTGCTGTCCAAAAGGCGAAGCCAGCAGACAACTGGGGTGGACCGAAGGGTTCAAGTGAGTAGCAAAGCTAAAGAAGAAGCCTGTAGGAACTGAAGTATTTAGCCAGGAGAAACTCAGGTAACATGACTTCCATGTTATCTCCTTCCAGGAGATTAGCAATAATCTGATCTGATCTAATCTAATCTAATCCAATGCAATCTAATTCAGTCTAATCTAATCCAATCTAATGATTTAGGAAGTGAAGGTGACCAGGCCTCCTTTGAGAGAACCCTGAGCTTCTGATAAGATTGATAAGATAAGATAAGATAAGATAAGATAAGATAAGATAACCTTTATTCTCATTTTTTTACTGTGGGCACAACGGCACACATCAAAAATGAAATTTAGTTGCCCGCTCTCAAAGTGAAACACATACATGACACACACCTAAACATACTATGTACAACATACGTATAGACCCACACCCCTACGTATACATAGCAAATAAATATTAAATACTGTCCATCTTGAATATATAGCGGAAGGAGGAAGCTTGAGAGTTCGCAAGGTTAATGCTGTATGGAATGAAACTATGTCTGAATCTGGATGTTCTGCTTCGGATACCACGGAGCCCCCTCCTCCCAGAGGTAACAAGGAAAACAGGTCATGAAGAGGATGTGTAGTGTCCCATACAATCTTGCGGACCCTGCTCAAGCAACACTTCTGTGCTGTGTCCTGGATGGGAGGGAGGGAGCTGCCAATGATCTTTTCTGCTGTCCTCACCACTCTCTGCACCGCCTTCCTGTCTGAAGCAGGGATGCTTCTAACCCAGACTGTGATGCTGTATGACAGGATGCTCTCGATCGTCCCACTGTAGAAGGTGGTCAGGACAGGGGAAGGAAGATGCACTTTTCTCATGTGACGCAGAACATGCAGGCGCTCCTGTGCCCGCTTCGCCAGTTTCTCACTGTTCAGCGACCAAGCCAGCCTACTCGTTACCTGTGATTATTTCAGCTTCTGTGGGGGGTTTTAAATTATTTTTGTTGCCATCCCCCAAGCCCGACATAGATAGAATAGCTAAATATTTCCTTCTTTTTGCCCAGATGGTGGTCTCAGTCTATAACCAACCCTTGGCTACTAATGTACTATAATAGATTGGCTT